CTGTTAGCTGAACAGCTCTCTCAACATTAGAAAACTACGCGAGACCTGCAGGGTACGTGACCACACGTTTACTCAGTGGGGCTTTTTCTCACTCTCCCTGGAAAGGCTGTAACCTGCTCAGTATTTTGATCGTGAACCCAAAAAACATTTCAAGTCATATACCAGTGAAAATAAGTAACAGCAGTACATAATTATCCTGATCAAAAAAATCAGAGAACATTTACAGGCATACCCAGGTACTTGATTAGTCCCCTCAGATCCACAAGGTATTCTATGTCCGGAATGAAGAAACTGTGAACTTTTGTCATATGGGCCACATTTTTGGTGAGAGTTCTGGAATGGTGGGGACAGAACAAGCAGTCCGTGACTGGTATGGCCCCAACAGCAGGAGTGGCTTCGGCTTCTGCCTCCTCCTCCTCTTCTCCCACACTTTCCATCTCTTCTTCAGAGCCGATGTCTTCGTCAGAATCCATATCTTCCCAGTCTTTTAAAGGAAGTTTAAAAAAATATTAATGTATATGATTACTTCTCTCAAGCAAAACAAGTCCAAATTAAGTTAGAAAATATTATAATAGAAAATTCTATTCTTACAGCTAAGTGCCACACAGTCACTTCCAGGGGCAAGAATATACTATTGTCAGTAAAACACACTTCTTTGTAAGATGCACTGCAAAGCTCAAGTCTGCTCATAAAGAAGTTGGCAGATCCAGGATTTTTTCTCCTACATTTTCTCAACTATTAACACTTCATTGCTGTTTCAAAGCCTTAAATTCAATTCACCATAGCACAAGAACACACACAGAGCTCACTAAAAACAACACAACTCTGTCAGAATCATGAAAATACTCATTTCCAGCAGTGACTCAGCAGTGAGGGAAAACACACTCCTGTTCACACATCCATCTTTAACAACAGAGAAGAACAAAGCCAGCTGTCACAGATACACTACGTTACTTTATATGTTAGTGTCTTTGCACATACTATAATTTTACACATTTGCAAGATTATTGCAGAGCTCATGAATGGACAGATGAACTAGCAATCTGATTATACTGCCAGAGGGATCTAGAAATCTTTTTTAAGGAGTTCAGATCTGGGGTAGTAAGCATTTCCCAGTACTCTATTACTGCTGGTCCCCTTCCAACTGCCATGAGCACAGAGTGCTTGAGAACAGGGATCACGGTGCTCCCCAGTGTTGTAGGCCACTAATTAGATGTATTTGCTATAGGATATAATTTAATAAATTTTAAGAGCCTGACACTGAATTAACAGGAATTGTAAGAAACACTGCTGGATAAACACTGAAAAGGAAAATTAACATTCAGAAACCTACTGAGATTTAACATTACAATTTATGACTAACACATTAATACAAAACAGGTGCAAGTTGTGTCCTTTAGATGTTAAGATGCACGTTCAGAGGTGGACGTTTCTTCTCCTGTATAACAGATACCCTGAATTGCAACTGAAAATTCACCACTGTAAAACTGCTGTAACAGATGTAATAATATGACGATTTCAGTAATGAAGCTGGTGTACTATGGTCCCACTTCATTCACATATGTCCCCTTGCTGCAGTTCAATTACCCCATTCAGCTGCTCCAACAGAAGCATTTGGAGCTGGGCTGTAAATTACAGCACTGAAAATAACCCTTTTCTGTGAATTCTGATCTTTTCAGTTGTCTGCTTTGCAGGTTAATCTCCAACAAAGAAACTGTACCCACACAAGCAGTGAGGGTGAAGCAGCAGGAACAGGCAGTTGGGGTGGCAACTCTTTTTTGATTTTAATATAAATGCCAACATGCTGAGAAGCTGTGCCACACAGCATCAGGTTAAGGAGCAAACTTTCTCCTCTGATCTTGGTCGGTAGAGAAAAACAAAACCAACCCGACTCCCACCTCCCTTCAACAGATCAGTAAAGTGATTGATGGGACAACAAGCAAATGGTGAAGACTCGAGTTTTGTTCATCTACTTTTCAGACACAGTTTTAGGGTAACCTAGCCTTCCTTAAAGGAAACTTCCCTTGGAATTTTATGTGGGAAGTACCGTTCATATTAGTAGCTATTTATATTCGACCTTCAGATATAACACAGAGGCCTTGACTGCAAGCATGGACCAACCTCAACTCCTTTGTTAAGCTGGTAATTTAATCAACACAAAAACCTTTCATGGTGGAAACTGCTGCACCACTACAGAAACAGAAGGAAGCTTTTACACAAAACCACCACCAACATACCTTACCCCAAGCTATCTCTTGTCAGCACGTTTATTACCTTACCTTCTTCCATATCCTCCTCTTCCTCTGCCTGTTGTTTGGCCAGCTTCTTTGCTTGCTGTTCAAACCACTGCAGCCGTGGAGGTTTTTCCCATCGCTCTCTACTCTGTGATAAACTGGTGCTTTCTGTAGAAACTAGAGAGCCACTGGCGTTACTAGGAGGTAAAGGTGTCTTCTTTGGGGATGAAGATGGCTGAGCTCTGATGGCTTGCTGAATAGCTGCGTTCATTTCATCTTTGTTTACACTCTCCGGGGCCAGCCCCTTTTCCAGGTTCTTTTCATTTAATATTTTCACCTTCTTGCTGACAGCTTGAACAGCTTTCTTCTCCAGCTCCAGGTGCTTCTTGGACTTCAAGTGATTCTCGTAGGCGTTGAAGGTGGAGAATCTCTTGCTGCAAACTGTGCAGTAAGTGGCAGTGACTTTGTTCTGCTCCTCTGCGACTGCTCTCTGCGCTAGGACTCTCTCCTGGAAGTTCTCAGCAGTGACAGGAGGCATGTCAGCCACCTTACGCTTCAGGTTGTATCTGTGCCAGTCAGTTTTGTAATGGGCACGCTGGATGTCAGCATCCTTGAAAGCCACACGGCAAGTGATACAAGTGTAGGTTGCCATTACTACAAAGTGAGAAAAAAAAAAAATAATAATCATACTAACAAACATAAGGAACAGTCATAAAAATGCCCAACCACAACATCCTAACAGCACCCATGTAAGGCAGCAAAAGAGATACAGTTCTCATACAGAATTAAATTTATTAAACACCAGCATTAGCCAACAGCATGTTACATACTAGAAGGAGCAAAAAAAGACAAGACTGTGATACAGTTACCAGAGATTACTCACACCACAGCAGCACCAGAGCGTCCCAGCTCTGGACCCAGCACCCATGGTGCTTATCAGGGCTCGGACACGAACTAGAGGGTTCCCAGCCCTAGAAGCAGTGCTTTAAAGGCACTGTGCTTTTTACTGGAGACCAGAAACTGAAAGTTCTTATCAAGCTTGATTTCTGCCAACCATAGGCTTTTAAGGAGACTAGTGATTTCTTCAAAATAAGGGTAAAAAGGGAAAACTTGCTTTCATAACTATTTTCCATTTTCCACAGCCTTATCAAATGGAAAAAAACCCCAAACATTTAAAAACCCCAAACCATGTCCCCCAGCACTATGTCAACCTGTCTTTTGAACACTTCCAGGGATACTGCCTCAGCCACTTCCCTGGGCAGCCCATTCCAATGCTTGATAACCCTTTTGGTGTAAAATTTTTTCCTAATATCCAACCCGAACATCCCCTGGCTCAACTTGAGGCCATTTCTTCTTGTCCTATCGCTTGGGATTTGCGAGAAGAGACCGACCCCCACCTCTCTACAACCTCCTTTGAGGTAGTCATAGAGAGCCATAAGGTCTCCCCTCAGCCTCCTCTTCTCCAGGCTGAACAACCCCAGCTCCCTCAGCTTATAAGCTCCATTGCCCTTCTCTGGACCCGCTCCAGTACCTCAATGTCTTTTTGTGGTAAGAGGCCTAGAAGTGACAGCACAACTTAAACTCGGGGTGGTCGGAGGGAAGGGGAGTGGGGTGGAGAGGCAGGGGGGGAGGAAGGAGGGGACGGAAGAAGTTAAAAGAGAATAAAAACCAAACCAAAAAAAAAAGCCACGAGCCGTGGCCCGGACAGGGCTCACCGGGCGGCTCCGCCGTGAGGGAGAGCAACCAACACGCCCAGGCCGCGCGGCCCAACCGCCGCTCCTCGGGGCCGGGCCGGGCCTCACCCTCCCCGCCACCCCCGGCAGCGCCAGGCCGCCCCGACCACCGCCGGGTCTCACCGGGACACGCACCTGCCACCCGTGGAGGGAAGAGTCCCCCGTGGCTGCCGGGGCCCACGGAGCAGGAAGAAGAAGATGAAGAGGAGGAGGAAGAGGAAGAGGAGGAAGTGGCCCCGCAGCCCCAGGCAGGAAAGGCGGGGCCCGCCCTCTTCCTCCCGGCGCCGCCGCCGCTGGCGCCCCCTGCCGGCCCGGAGGCCCCGCAGCGCCGCCTGCCCCGCCCCGCCCCGCCCGCGGGGGAACCCTCGGAGCTGCGGGACCCCGGCTGAATCACAGAATCACAGAATCTTCTAGGTTGGAAGGGACCTTAAAGATCATCTTGTCCTACCGTCAACCTAACTGACAAAAATAGACACCGGAACAACAAACAAAGAGGATAATCACTAAACCATACCTCCCAGCACTACATCAACCCGTCTTTTGAACACCTCCAGGGATGGTGCCTCAACCGCCTCCCTGGGCAGCCCATTCCAATGCCTGATAACCCTTCCAGTGAAAAAATTTTTCCTAATATCCAACCTGAACCTCCCCTGGCGCAACTTGAGGCCATTTCCTCTTGTCCTATCACCTGTGACTTGAGAAAAGAGACCGACCCCCTCCTCTCTACACCCTCCTTTCAGGTAGTTGGAGAGAGCGGTAAGGCCTACCCTCGGCCTCCTCTTCTCCAGGCTGAATAACCCCAGCTCCCTCAGCCTCTCCTCATAAGACTTACTCTCCAGACCCCTCACCATCTTTGTCGCCCTTCTCTGGACCCGCTCCAGCACCTCAATGTCTTTTTTATGGTAGGGGGCCCAAAACTGGACACAGTACTCAAGTGGGGGGTGTATGCTGGGTGGGCTGCTGTGCTGTTTTGTGGATTTTTTTTTTTTTTTTTTTTTTCCTATTTTGGGAACAAAAATACAACTACATATGGTGAAAGATAAAAACTAACACATATTTATTAAATGGTTTTTACAAACAATATAATAATTCCATGTTTACAAAATAGTAATCAGGCTAGGTAAAGTGCTGCAGAATATTTTAAATAAAGACATTTTGTAGTTTTCCAGTTTCTGGTTACCCGGACAGGTGGTGTGTTACAGACTGTGACGCTGCTCGTGTGCTGAGAACAGACATGGAGACTACAGGGAGGTTGTTCAGGAGGCTTAAACCGCCTGGGAAAAGTGCAAAACGAACAAAAAACAAGTAAAACGAGTATTTCTTCAAATCCTATTACTTTGGGTTAAAATTATTTCCCCTCCTGTGCATAGAATAATTGGCAATTTTTCCACGAACAAACTGAGGAAGGGTCAGTAGGTGTGTAGCACATGGACAGAAGCCCCCAGTGCTGGAAACGGGTGTTTTTCCGCTGGATTTGACAGACTTGAGGCTGCTGATCAAAGGGCCCCCGCTCCGTCTGTCACTCAGAGGTACTAAGGCAAGGGGAGATTTTCGGAGGACGAAGGACAGAGCTGTACCCAGTCAATCCTGCCCCGACACGGGTGGTTCTCCTCCAGCAGGGATGCTGCAAAGTGAGGGGAGCGGCGAGCGCTTCGACAGCCCCGCGGCAACAACGCGCCCCATCCTCAGCCCCCCAGCAGGTACCACGGGCAGGACTCGTCCCACGGCAAGGCCACGCTCTGTGTCGCCCCATGGGCGCCTTCCATACTCTCTGCTCTTGCCCTCACTGCTGCCTCATGGCTGAAAACTGCCCGAAAACTACCCCTTTCCAAGCTCCCTGCTCACCTGCCTTTCTCCCTGCACCTCTGCTCCCTTGCAGAGGACAGGAAGATGGCAGCAGGAGAGACGCTGTGGGCCATTGTGAAGGGAATTTTTAAGTAACTGCTGATAGAATACTGCAAAATGAAGGTTTCTGGAGAGATTTCCAACTGACGGCAGCGTGGGAGGGATCTCGCCAAGGAGAGAAACGTGTTCTGCGGTCAAACTGCTGGCAGTGGAATGTATCGTGTCCAAGCAAAGTGTTTCTTACGTGCGGTTGTTTGGGAAGGAAGAGGCAATTTTCTGCAGAAAAACTAAGTATCCTTCCACTACCTAAGGAGAAATATTGAATTGTTACAGAATTACCTCCTTCCCAATACACAGTATTTAGGGGCTTGAAGGTAATCAGCTATGAGAACAGAAAAATAAAAATTCTAAAGACACTCAGATAAGCAATTACACCCCTAAACTTTAATGATTTGCTTGTTTTGCTTTGTTTTTCTTTCTGAAAAGAAAAAAAATAATAAAATTGAGACTTGTACTGGAGAAAAATTGATCTATTTTTCTATATTGAAACCAGAAAATGGATCCTTTACAAAAAGTCCAAGAAACTCCTCCAACTGCTTTTCCTTCTTGATCTAATCTATTATTCTAGAAGAGTGCCCCTGCGCTAAGTACTTTATAACCACAAGTATTCTTCATTAGACACCAATAAAGTGCACGCTGCTGTAACGCCGCCCTCGCCAGCCAGCTAGTCCGTCCCATCCCTCCGCTCCAGAGAGGCCTGTGAAGGATGGTCCCTCCCGCCTCTCCCCGGCCCATAGGCCCTGTCCCCTCCTGGCACCACTGCTCCCGGACCAGGATGCACGCAGTTGTCTGTGTCCCCCTACAAAGCTTCATCACCAACTTGGAAGTTGTCCTCTTCTAACTCTATAGATTGTCCTGACCGTGCAGGAAGGAAACCAGGCTGTTAACTCACCTGAGAAAGTTAAATGGCCTTTAAACTGACCGATTTCCCAGCAAAAGCTTCTTTTATTTTTTTGCAAGTTGAGAGGGACAGGCTGGGGGAAGCTAAAAAGGAAACTTAGCAACCAACGCTGTGGAAGCGATGTGGCCATTTTTTAAAAATCATTTCCAGAAACTCACTTTTAATGTTAAGATGTTGTAATTTCAAAAGCTGCATCTTGTGGGATTTACATCCAGCATCCACTTACTTCGTAATGGATTTGATAATGAAGGCACAGGCTCACTTTTTTACTGGTAAAGGACAGCAAACACGGTCAATATGCATTACTGACACAAAAGCACAAGCGACGATAAAGCTAGTGTCAAAAATTCTCAGCATTTTTCCTTTCACTACACTCTTTTTGGCCATCTGCCCATTTTTTCATCTCAGAAAGAAAAACAAATTAAAATGGAGTTAACTTTAAACACAGGTTTACCTACGCTTACATGTTAGTGGAAGATTTTTATAATCTGTTGCTGTACTTCCCGAGGGTCCCAGATGACAGCATTCACCTCTTCAAATGCCAGCAAAATGGAAAATCACTTGAGTAGTAATAGCAGCTGACATGGTCCCTCAACTTTGCTAACAGTTTACATCACATTAAAAAAACTAACTTTAATTCTTCCTAATTCTTTGATTACTATTGCTTGGTATTACAAATCAATTTTGCCACAGGTGAACAAAAAAGCCCTAGAAAGAGTTAAATAAGTTACCTGCTTAAGATCCCATGCCACTCACTGAGCATGTGTGGAGTTTAATCTGGCAAATAATTTTAAAAAGTTATTTTTTGTTTCTTTTAAATTCCATGCAAAGAAGAAGATTCTGAGCGTCTTCTATAGCAAATGACCTCACTGAATACTTTCAAGTATCTTAAAAGATTCAGATTGCAACACAAGTTTTGTTGCAAGTGGTGGCAGCTGTCCTGGGAAAAATCAAACAAACAAACAAAAAACAAAAAGCAAAACCCACAGGATATCGAATTAAGGAAGTGGCACCTAAAAAATCTTTTTTTTTTTTTTTTTAAACCTCTAACCTCTATTCCAAACAATAACTACCCTCACCTGCTCCCAAAAATGTTGTTCAGTTTACATGATATTAACTCTTTAATATAAAAAAAAGTGTTGGCTGACTTTACACGGGCAATACTGCCAAGGACCAGACTCTATCAAGGAACACAGCAGGTGGTCAGTCAAATAGCATGCCACTTTACAACTCTACAAGCCTAAAACAGCAAAAAACCTGGAAATGCATCACCATATCCAAAATAATAAAAAGGTTTTAAGTACGAAATCAAGTTATTTGATAGTGTTGCACACATATTTAAACTAGAGTTGTGCCAATTAAAGTGTTTCATATATAATAGATGCACTATGCATAACGCTAACTGCGGGGATTCATACTTTTTGGTATGACTGAAGGAGATGAGATTTAATTAATCTCATTGCAGTCCTCTGATAACTTGCCCTCCCTGTGTGAATCGTTAATTGTATTACCTGGTCGGCAACCAAGAGTAAATAACCTGCCGATATCAAAAATTTGGCTCAGGACCCCAAAATACAAGGTTGGCAAAAAGATAAAAAACCCCTCTCCCCCAATTCTTTTGAACAACTGACCTCCAACACTCATCTGCAACCAAACAGTGGATAGATAATTCATTTCCATGCTATTACATTGAGGTATAACTACCAGAAACATTAAACTATCAGTATCAGCTGATATTTACCCAGTTAATTCACTCTGCATAAGGGAAATTATTACAACACATCTAAAGGGATAGTTAAAGCTTACAGCTCCGAATTTTCTTTTTTTTTTTTTTTTTTTTTTTTTTTTTTTTTTTTTTTTTTTTTTTTTTTTTTTTTTTTTTTTTTTTTTTTTTTTTTTTGCATTTGATTTTTTTTACGTGTGTTTTATGTTTAATTTCTTCTATGTTACCAGCTGCAATTTCCAGGCTAATGACTTCCTAGCAGGTTTGAAAGGAAGCCTGAAGATTTTTTCTTTTCCTGGGCTTCTGCTTCTTGGCCTTGTGAAAGTCCCAATTCTTTCTCAATCTGCTCAAGCTCAGACTGGTCAAGCAGTTCAAAATCATCAGCTTCCTCTGTGTCTGTCTCCTCGCTCAAACTGGGCACTGCATGCGAGGGAGCTTGCTGTGCGGACTGCAACTGGTCTTTGATGGCAGCAGACACCGCAGCTGCGATGACATCCCCAGCAATTCCACTCATTAAATTAAAGGTTTGGTCACTGGTCAAAGGCAAGGAGAGCCCTGCAGTGGACGGCCTCTCTTTACTCTGTCTGGAAGCGTGATCCACCTTGAAATATGTTTGTTCTTTTTTTCGTTTTTGCTGGATGGGCATACCAATGCTTGAGTCATCGTCATCATTTGTTCCGGCACCATTTTCTAAAGAAGGAAATTCTGGAAGATCTCTAGCAAAAGCTTCTTCATGATCACTAGGTCGGTCAAAATCTATTACAGGATAAACAGATGGAAACAGTGTTAGCAAACATGAAAAGCTTCCTACAAAAAAAGCAGCCAAATGTAAAAATGCAATTAGCAAGTTTTGCTTTAAATACACTTACTAATCCATAGTCTAGTAGTCTTATGTAGTCTTAACACAGAGAAGCTTTGTGTTACATCTAAAATAAAATGGTTTTGAGGTCATAAACCTACTACCACAAGTTACCTGCTATCAACCTAACTCAGAAAGTTCTTTAAGTATAATTATCTTTTTAAAATGGTATCTAGCTGCATATGAAACAAGCCATGAAAATCTTGAGCATGGGCAGTTCTAAAGACACCAGCCACATAAAGTCCTGAAATTTGTAATGTCACAACAGGTCTTTAAAACATTTTTCTTTACAATTTATATAAATTAAAAATATGTAAGTATGTATGAATGTATTACAAGCCTTTAAAATAATTGTAGAATAAAAAATGAATATTTACATGTTTAAATAAAGATATAAAACCCATGGTAAAGAATTTATAACTTTTTCCTTTCTTAGCCAATACTTGTATTAGATTGGAAACAGAAAATAGAAACTCTACAGATGACTAGGATAGTCACACATTTTCAGGAGGACAAAAAGCTGAATGTAAACAAATAAAAGATTAGATTTTAATGACTGCACTAATAGCATGATATTTGTTACTGTAAATGTGTAAAATATACTGACCACAGCACATGGCCTGTGGAAAAGACCTAAATGAGCAAAAAGGAATATTTTGATCTAGTATTTGAATGAGAAGGTAAAAAAAAAATCAGTTTGAACTTACTTTCTACGAAAACAAGTAAAAGCAGCATTCATAAGGGCTAATGAAATGAATCCTAAAAATGTCTGGTACATCATTTTCTCCATTTCCTTTAGGAAAAACAGGCTGGGAAGGTGAGGAGGAAGGGTTGTGCTGTATGCAGAGTGGTGGCTTAAATGCACAGGGCTTTGAGAGGAGATGAGCTAGTCATCGGATGCATCCCATCTGGTCTTGCACTTGTGTGTATGTCCCATTTGCTGAAAGGCTCCGCGGGGGTAGAAGAGTGGATGTTGTTTATTTTTCACTTAGCAAAGCCTTTAATGCAGTTTCCCACCTTATACTTAGAGCCACATTGGTGAGCAAACTGGGAAAGTGAGCTGTAAGGTGGGTGGAAACTCAGTCAGCCTGCCAGGCTCAAAGGGCTGTGATCAGTGATACAAGGTTCAACTGGAAGCCAGTTATGAGGGGTGTCTCTCAAAGGTACTGAAGCCAACACTGTTCAATGTTTTTATTAGTGACTTGGATGTCAGAATGGAGTGCACGCTCAGCAAGTTCACAGGCAGAAAGGAACTGCTCTGGGGCAAGTGTATTTGATATTCTGGAGGGCACGTCGCCCTCAGAGGGACCTCAACAGGCTGAAAAGGAACATCATGAAATTCAACAAAAGCAAATGGGAAGTCCTACATCTGGAATGGAATAACCTGTGCAGCACTACAGGTTGGGGGCAATGAGACTTAAGAGCAGCTTCCAAGAAAAAGACCAGAGGACAGCAAGTCAGTGGTATACCCTTGCAGCAAGGAAGACTAAGCACATACTGAGCTATACTAGCAAAAACGAAGTCAGAAAATCAATGGAAGGGATCTTCTCTGTTCAGCACCTAAGAGCGCATATTTAGTAGTTTGCCCAGTTTTGACCTCTCCATTACAAGACAGACAATGAAAGACTGGAATGAGTCCCCTGCAGGGTCAGCATGATTATTAGAAGGCTGGAGAACACGACACAGAAGGAGATGCTGAGAGAACGGGCTTTGTTTGGCCTTAAGAGAAGGAGGCAAAGGGGGGATCACGTAGTTGTCTTTAACTACCTAATGGGAAGGTTAACAAAGATGGGACTTGACTCTTCTTGAAGGTGGACAGTGGAAGGATGAGAGTAAATCAACACAAGCTGGAACATGGGAAATTTTGATTCACTATAAGAAAAAGCTTTTTCATCATGTGAGTAATCAAATATTGAAAATGGCTGTCCAGGGAGGTTCCTGAATCTCTACCATTGGAGATGCTCAAAATTAAACCAGTCACAGCCCTGAGCAACTTGATCAAGTTGAACCTGCTTTGAATAGGAGGTTAGATGAGATGAACGACAATGGCCCATTCTAACTTATGATTCTGTGATCATACAATGCTATTTACTACTTGAAATATTAACAAAAAGAATGTAAATTATTAATTTGGCCCGTATAATGTTGTTAAGTAATATCATTTTACTTGTCATTTACAGTGAACTCTTTCTGGAAGAGGAGAAATGCAAAATGAGCACAGCTAAGGTTACGCTAAACTACTGTTGTCCTTAATCTTTATTCAGGCAAAGTGCTAACTGAAAGCTTGGTCTGTAAAAAATACAAAGTTAAAGATCTAGTCAAGATCAAGACAAGTGCTTGAGAATCTTTTCCTAGTCTTAGTCTTCATATCTCATTTAGGCTTATTGCTGGCTGTCTTCGTCAGCATTCTAATAACCAAAACCTAATAATACTTTATTTAATTGGCTGTTTAGCAATTCATAGTATTCTCTTTTTCTTCTTCAGCTCCACAAAAGCAGTGGTACTAACCTAAAAGGTTTACTGCTTAAATGGTTTAGTGGAAGAGGGAGCTAAATCTGGCAGTTACTGAATGTGTTGGTTTTACTTATTGCTACTTATTTATTTAAACACATATTAATGTACTTTATTATTTTTAAGATTAAGACAGCTCTTACACGAGCTATATCCACAATTATATAAAACACTGGAATTAATTTTTAATTCACTGGGGGGGAGGGGGGAAGCGGGAGGGAACAACCCAGAGAACTTTTGTCCTCAAATTCTCTAATAATTTTCAGGTAGCTTACATGCCTACAATTCATCGATGAAATAGATGAAGCCATTACATACCATCAGATGTGTCTGTCTGTGGAGAATACCCCTCGGATAAGTTAAAGGTCCCATTATCGGTCCAAGAGACTTCTGATACATCTGTGTCAGACACTGACAGCTCTTTGGCAACAACTGCAGGACTAACCTAAACATAAAAAAATCCCATACATGGTATTCTTATACTCAAGAAATTCACACTACAGGAGGCCAATGCTTAGATACTGAAAAAGAAGCCTCTTGCATGTCATAGCAATATAAATTGTCTCCTATTTAAGTTTTAAATGTAGAAATATGAAAATAATAGCATACAATACTTAAAATTGAAGCATTCCCCTTTGCAATAACTGAAAGTTGTATTATACTAAAGCAGCATAGAAAATTCCACTTATTCATTCTGAAAGTAATATCCTACTGTAATGAAAGCAGAATGAGCCTGCAAATATAAGGCACATAAATGTAAAAAAATGCATAACTTGGATCAAAACTGCTCCCGTTATCTGTAAGACAGTAAAAAAATAGCTAAATTAAAAAAATCATTATCCTTTATGAATTTATCCAACAACATTCAATTATGTCAACTACAAATTTTTGTTCCATGGGATATGAATTTATTTATTTTTAGAATACAAAAACACCTTCAGAGTGATCACTGCCAAAGCTCTATACACTACTGATCAAATACTCCGTAAGAATTCCTATAAAACTGAATTCTTTTTATATCAATCAGTGATGAAAAATCTTTTGCCAGTTATTTTGAACATTAGGAAAGAAGGAGATATCAGAGTCTTCTCATACATTACTAGAAAGATACTTACAGATAACATACGGATTTACACTATCACTGAAAATGATCAGACAAGTGATTACAAAAGTATCTGATACGTTATGTAGGTTTTCTACAAACATTTCCCTTTTATATTTTGATAAAAATTAATTGCAATTTCACTGTTGCAAATAAAAATATCTGGCTTTGCTATTAAAGTCTAGTTTAATCATTCTACAGCCAATAGAAAATAAACACATTCTTAGTACGCCGAAGAAACCATTACCTTGAAGGCCAGAAGTCAAAAATGCAGTAAGTTAATTAGTATAAGCCTAAAGATGGAGACTATGAATCGCTTTTAAAGCGTACTGCTTACTTAGTTCAGGAACAGAAAACAGCCTCATGGGCAGGTTAGTCTTCCACAGAAAACAGAGATAGTAGTCTAGATAGTCTCCATTATCTACATAGATTTTAAAAGCAAGATAGGGCTGACTGAAAAAAAATCACCTTAGGACACAGGGCTGATATGTCTAATTCACTGTCATCTTCTGTGGGTTTTGTTTTTGCTGTTTCTGAAAGAAAAAAATATATTTTTAATCCTACTCCTGACAACAGACTTTGAGGTTCAGTGCGCGTTCCCTGTCACACAGCTGGTGTAAACTGTCATCTGCTGGCACAGCGCATCATTTACGTAATATGCTACTAAGGTGAAGGGGAAAAAGGCTGACTGAAGAGGCTAAATGTATATCAAAATATATCGTGCAGCAGCCAAAGCAGCAGAGGGATTGTTGCTCTGAAATACATACCATCACGTTTATTTACTTAGTTTCAGAAGTCTCAGTTGCTCACCATAATATAATGTTCCCTGGCAGTACATACCTGTCTTTTAAACCACACTGCTGGTACAGCACACGGTTGTAACACAGTGTAGTTATCCCACTTTTACATGAGAACATGCAATTTTCTGAATAATTGTGTGTCATCTTCATTCACAAAACCTTTCTTCTTCTTTGCACCCTATTCCCCTGCTTTTGCAACATTTACACGAGATTATGCATACAAAGCATCCTCTAAAGTCTGGTAGAAAGCTGGTCCTAACAGATGAATGGAGATACAAATTTTGCCTCCTCCCCATCTGAGAATAGCCTCATGAGTATTTTAAACCAATATAAGTGGAAAACCAGAGTCATATTATTCTTGGTTGCCTATTTTTGCAACTTGCTATTTCCTCTTCTATGCCAGTACAAGGGTTTGTGAACCCATGTGGTGAACCCAATGGCAAAGCAAGGGAGGCAACTTGTCTCGGTTAAGTTCAACTGGAGGGTGAGAGGCAGGAAAGAATGAATCTAACTCCTACCATTTTCCAAGTGCTGGCTTATGAAATCTGTGAAACAATAGTCTGATCTCTCTGCCAATTTCACTCAAAAGTAATACAAGGTGGAATAATACGGGAAAGAAAATTTGCAATGCATTAGTCCTTATTCACAACTACTGCAATATATAATATATAAGAGAAGGGAAAAAGGCAGATGGTTCTTCTCATTGTGTCTAGGAACAGCACCTTGTACGATGAACTGTTATAAGAAATGCGCATTTTAAAGCAGATATGAAATGTACTGATGTAATACTAACTAAAAGGGGTAGTCCACCTGCAAATTGTTGGGTTTTTTTTACCATACTCAGATGTCTGACATACATTATCACTCCTTATAAAGCTAAGAACGGTTCAAAGCAAGAAATACCCTTATACTTGGCTTCACAGAACAAACCAAGCTGCCTGCAAGGTGAATAAAATTTTCTCTGCATACAGAAATACCCTACTTGGGACTGTACTTAATTACTCACCAGATCTCTCTTTTTTCTTCTGGTTGATATATTCCACTACTCCAAAATCTAGTTTCATCAGAACAGTCTTAATTTTGTTGCACACTTTCTGTCCAAATTCATTGCACTTAAGGAAGGGACATAAAAAGGCACACAATACTGTGATAAAAATGAAGACAGAGAGAAAAATCAAATTGAAATATTGCTTTATAAAAAGTTACTCAATAAAGATTAAACAATACATTTGCATAAGGTAGCTACTAATTTTACATAAGGCAATTCATTTTACATAAAAAAGCACTGCAAAATGCCCACGTCAAACTGTTACTCTTAAATCCAGTTTCTAGGAGCCATTTCTACTCATCGCAGAAAATACCACTGTATTCATATCAATTGACACCTCTTTTACTTCCAGTATGGCACAATTTATGATCACTATAACTTTTATCATTATCTTCATTTAGCCCGATTTTGGTACCTGAGCATGAGAAACATGACTGTGCAACATTGTGCCAGAATCAAGAAGCTGAAAAAACCTGGATGCTGACTTCCATATGACAAAAAGCACTTGTCAGAACCTACATAAATATGTATACGTGTATATATATGCATATGGTGTGTGTATATATAAAAAAATAAACAGATACTCCCAATACAGAGACCAAGGAATGAACAAACCACATACATAAATCATGACTGAAAAAGAGACTATACTTACACAGGACATAGGAGAGGACAACTCCAGGAATGTAACTTCCCAAGACAGTGAAAAATGTACAGACACTGCAGACTAGTAGGCAAAACTGGCAAAAAAATTGAAACTGACCATTAACATTTCCACTGTTTAAATATTTAGATCATTTTGCCAGAGAAAAATGTTGCATGCTAAATGAAATCTAGAATGCAGTAGAAAATGGAAGATAGTTTTTTTAAAATTGGGAAATACTTTAACACATCTGGTGCAAATAAGCATCAAACCACCACTTTTTGGGTGGTTAGGATATACCCCCTCTTCTGTTATAAGAACATGCTAGTTTTATTCATTTACTGTTACGGTTTCACAAGCTCAAGGTTATTGCTAATGTTACTGGAAATTACTTCTTCTGCATTACACAAAAAACAGGCTAAACAGTTGATATGCAGGAAAAAACCCAAATCACTAATTGAAATATTACAATGTGTACTTGCTGCACGCTTACAAAAGCAAAAAATCCTTCCCATGAGAGTGCAGTTCTCCCCTCTGTTGTACCGCCTCGTGAAACTGTTTTCTCTAATATGCTGGCAAGCATCTCTTGATGCTTGTTGGCTACTCTGGCATCCCCGTAATGACAACACTGAGCTGAACTTTCAGTATAAAACTAGAGATTCAGCGTCTGCTGTGACTGAGACATACTGTGGTTCTTTCACAACTGCGCAATGCTTAGTACGGAATTGATTTGTTGAAAGTCTACAGACACAATCCATTTGTTTTTGGAGTTGAACTGCAATAAATTGGTTAATTGAAAGAAATTTTGCACACAGCATCAGTGCCTAATTTGCTTGTAATTATTGCAGTACAATACTGACATAGCTTAGAGAATGAGATCAGGAAAAAGAAAAACATGCTGTCAAAATTAGCTTTTCTAAATCAGTATTAAATATATCTTAACATACAGTTACTGTGTCATGTTACTACATGACAAAATTATGGGATTGTGTATATTCCTTACCTCAAGTACACCTACTTCTTTTAAATATAACTTTATTATTCTAAACGTATAACTTATTTTTGTATAATTTATTCACCTTTGAAGTGTATTTCATCCTGTTGTTCATCTGTATTTTCAGGCTAAACTTCTAGTATTTGAGTGTGGTACTCCCTATTTCCAATTTGCTGATTCTGAAGGGCCTGTTTTCATGAAAGATTTTGTGGCATAGTTAACTGAGATCAAATGAGGGGAAAAGACCTAGTAATCTCCTTTTTAATTTCTATATTTAGCAGTAAGTATATAAAAATGAAATCTACTTTTGCCATGATATACTTCTACATTATTTATATTTTTATTTGGAAATGAAAGCTGCTTCACTTTTGGCTAGAATTATGTAATAATCTTCTTCCTATTAGAAAATAAGAAACATTATTCTTGCTTGCTTCTTCATGAACTGGGTTCTCTAGCTCAGTCTTTCCAGTAAAAAAACCAACCAAACCAAACAACTAAATGTGTATAGAAGAAAAATTATCACAATAAAATATTAAGGATTGTCTTCTATCATTTAATACTTGTGCAGCTATTTCTGAAAACTACGATTACTTGAAAAAAATGTGTATATTTAGGAACTGTGTACTGTTCCTGCTTTTTCAAGTATTTACTGAATGGTGATGTTTTAAATTTCATTTCCACAGAATGACTGGTGAAGTTCCAGCAGCAACAGGGGGGAAGGGCTGTACGGCTATAAACTTCACTGTGAGCAACTTTGCTGACTGATGACCTACCTATGTTCTGAACAGGAAAAACTTAAAATAGGAAAAACAGAAACTCACGACTGAACGTATCATAATGTGTATTTTATTTTCCTTTTTTTTTTGCTTGCTTTTTTAAAAAATCTTTCTCACCTTTTTATTAAACAATATCAAACTGTTAATCTTACTTGGGAGTGCTTACCTTGCCAGGGTTTTGTTCCTTGAAGTGGGACATTTCTTGAAGAAATACAAATAAATTCATCAGTGTTTCTGAAATGCACTGATTTATTCTGGGTCTGTAGTCTTGCCTGGAACTGATGACTTTCCAGCTGAGTAAAAAAAAACAAACCCAACAACTTTCGTTATAGCTCATATGAAAATAGAAACTGGTTAAAAACCTCATGTTGTACATCTATAGCTTCCAGCAATCCAATGGCTGCTACTACACTACAGAAACCTGTGCTTGTTTCCACATATTTTATATTGGGCTAATTTGATCTTTTTTAATTAAAAAAAAAAAAAGTGCTCAGTAGTAGCAATTCTCAGTCCTTACAAGCAATTGCAGAAGAAATTACTGTTTATTCATTCTGGCCATATGAAAACACTAATTTGAAGGCATAGTTCTCATCTAAATTAAGCAATCCCAAAGTTGTTTCTTAATATTATTTTTGCTTTAAAAAATATAACACAGTTCTTTTCATTGCCACAGAATGGCCATACGTACCAATACATTTAATTTCATGCATATCACATGTGCTTTTTCTTTTCTATTCTAATTTTTTTTTCTATTTTTTGTCTTGTTTGGCAAACTATGATGATCCATAAAAGACTGTTATCCAACTTAGACAAAAAGAAATCACTCTTGAAGTCTTCATGTTTAGATTAATTTCCCTACTGAATTTTGAAAGGACTGTTTCTAAAGCTTAGCTTATGACTATTCAGTCCTTTCAATAAAATTGAAAATCCTATGTGAAGAATTTGCTGAAAAACATAATAAAGTGTTTTTGTGTCTAAGAAAGCATCTAATTTGGGGCTGATCAGATTAAATGATCACATTGTGTATCTTTTTGGAGTAGGCAAAACATCTACAACAAATGTGGTTTATGAAACAACAAATGAAAGGAGAAACATACACAGGCCAGTCCACATCAACTCAAACTGGTACAAAGTTAGGATGTACCAGGACGCAAATATTCAGAATATGAGGTAAATTCTGCACCAGTTTTATGAAGTTATCTTTTGCATAGTTCAGTGCTTGGTACACACACTTTAGATCACAGTAAATGCAAGTAAGCCATAAACAATCCCACAGTCGTTTGACTCAGACACACAATACATTAAATGCCCAATGCATCGCTGCATTATTAGTAACATTTTGTTGTAAGTAGATCAAGTTACAGAATAAATAAAAAAACTACGTTATGAAAAAAATGAATGTACAAGGGTCAGTGTGCAGCAATAAGGCCATAAACATAGACTGTCAGATCAAATTGCCAACTTCTATTTCCAAATAATTACTCTTCTATTTAGCTACTGAAACACCAGAAGGTCCTATTAACAGTTCTTCTTGTTACTTAGAATGCAAACGCCCTCTGATAGTTCCCCGGAACAACTTAAATTTTAGCAAGCATTGGTAAGCGACTGATAAGATTTTTGCTGTTCAAACTTTACCCTGTATGAACTTAGTGTTCAAAAGTAACATTTAAACATTTGTTTAATATTAGGAGAAACAGGATACAAAATTTTAATTATTCTTGTAGTGAACATAAGACTAAAAAAGAATTACCTATCATCACTTGCAAAAATACCTGTAGATTAAAAACTTCCACATTAATATTATCCTTGATCAACAACAGTTTGCTTAGTCATTTTTAGTGGCACTTATTGTAAAAGTTAAAAGCCCCCCTGTTTACAAATTTTCAGTTTTATAAACTAAAAGATATGACACTTCTATTTTAAAAACCATGATAAAAGAAGAAAAAGAACTCTGAATTTCAAATCCAATGTCTCAGCAAAAAGAACACCAAACTTAAGTTCTCCTTAAAATCTTTAACTACCATTTCAGACAAACTGCAGATGTCTGACATACAATTCTACTTTTTCTTACAATTATAAATTCTTGCTCTCATTTCTCCTAAACACACAGGATAAGAGGATTTTTAGCTTATGCCGAACTGTACACTTTGATCAAACTGCTGCCCAAGTTTTAATTAGTGAATTTTTAGATACTTTACATACTTACATCTTTTACATACTTATACTTTACATACATACTTTTATTCTCCCACACATGATATCCATTTTTATTCTATGTGGGAATGTTACATACCTTCTTTTCTGCTGCACTGCAGACATAGTGATTACCTGGAAGCAGCTTTCCTAACATAACAGAGGTGAACCACCTTCTCCTATTTTCAGACACATAATCTGAGCAGCTTCATTTTTGTAAAAAAAGTCAGGAATAATTTTGGTCAAAAAAGTCTAGTCACGCATGGAGAAACTTCATCTTTCTCTATGTCTATGTTTAAATACTGTAGAGCAACTTTGCCACGAGGTGGTGACACAGCAACATCGGTATTAGAGCAAGGTTTGGGAGCCATTTCACACAGACCATAAATAGCATGTGTAGAAGATTAATATTCAAACTATCGTATGCATAGTGGAGTGCAGAACATGACTTAAAGAAAAACTAGTATTTCAATCATGGTGAAAAAGTGATTAAAGTTAAAAACCCCAAATTGTTGCCCTATTCCTGACTTTATTATAGTATAGTATTTATAGTATTGCAGTATTGCGACTTCTTCTTACATTACAAAATATTCAGGGTGAGGGTTTTACCCCTCCCCTTTCATAAAAACCATACGCAGTTTAAATTTGGTACCTGCAATTCATAGGATGAAAGTCTCATGTCTTGGACTAGGTGACTTTTGTCAGACAGAGAGAATGCAACATATTTTCCAGCCATGAATGGCACTGCGTGCAGGTATTTGCTTCTGACAGAGGATGGAAATAAAACCACTGAAAAACTCATGAAGAATATGAGGGGAAGGAGTAGCAATGTTAACACAGACCCCTTGTCCACCTCCCATCCACAGTAGCGATTTCAATTTCCATCCTCTCTGATAATTAGTGGCTTGAGAAAAGTAGTTTACAATGGTTTTGACTTATGAGAACTGCAGTTTTTATGGATAGGTTGCTCTCCTTAAGGAAGCATTGCTTCCCGCTTTTGTAAACCATTCTGCACCATTAATAATGCGGATTTTAAGAGTTGCCTCTTAAGTGTTGAAAACTACTGTTATAACAGTATTCTGAATTAAAAAAATAATTTTACAGACTTTTCTGCTATCCGTTATTTAAAATTGTTGATAAACAAAGTGAAACTTCGCGAGAGCACAAAAACAATGGATAAGCCTGATGCCTACTGTCAAAACAGAGCTTTGAAATACATAGGATAATTGTGGATAGTTGGCTAACTAACTTTAAGTTAATTGCAAAAACAGGTGAAGAAAAAAGATGAAAGCATAAACTACAATAATAATGCAAACTATTTTCCTATACACTAACCACCAATGCAACAACAACGTAGATTAGAGATAAAACAAGGCACTTTGGGATAAATAATAGTAGTTCAAAACAAACACACAAGTTATGCAGGAAAATGGCACATTTGCAGGGAAAGGTCTCTGAAGTTGCTTTGTCTTGGTTGCTAATGCTTTCTTTTGCCAAGTTTAAAAGATTCTGAAAGTGTGAGCTGCAGTGCAGATAAAACACATGCTTTGGTCCTGGCATCTGCATGCACTGCATTGACAAAACTAGCAGCCCAGCAGGAGGAGTGGACAGTGCAGGTGAAGTTTGCTTCCAAACATTACAAACCCACTATTAAGCTTGCTCTGCGAAAGACTACTTGGCAGTTTCCTGTAGGCCACAAGCAAATCTGAGACACCTCTGTCAGTTCTACTATAGCCATACTTTTCTATTTTACAATGAACATAAGGACTTATTCTGGTCTCAGGCAACTAGAGGTGTAAGAAAGTCAGCTTGCTGATTTTCACTGCAACAGTGAGATACACGTGCTGCTGCTTCTTGTCTGCACCTCACAACAACTGCCAGCTCTGGTAACATCGTCCCTCCTGTCCCTATTCCCCAGAGCCCACTTGAGCGGCACCACTACCCAGAGGCCAGAGGGTTGCAACCGGGGAGCAGGAAGAGACCCTGCTGGAGAGGGAGTGAGAAAGAAAGGAGGTACAATGTGTATCTGTGTGTATGTAAAGATAGAGAGGTTATGTCATGCCCTTGTAGAAACAGAAAGAAACATTAAACCTGCATTAGATCAAAAGCCGACAGACACATAACCACATAATCACAGAATGGTGGGGGTTGGAAGGGACCTTCAGAGATCACCTAGTCCAACCCCCTGCCAGAGCATGTTCACCTAGAGCAGGCTGGACAGGAATGCATTCAGGTGGGTTTTGAATGTCTCCTGAGGAGACACCACAACCTCTCTGGGCAGCCTGTTCCAGTGCTCTGCCACCCTCAAAGCAAAGAAGTTCTGCCTCGTGTTTAGATGGAATTTCCTGTGTTCCACTTTGTGCCCACTGCCCTTTGTCCTGTCGCTGGGCACCACTGAAAAGAGTCTGGCCTCATCCTCTTGGCACCTACCCTTTAGATATTTATAAGCATTGATGAGATCCCCGCTCAGTCTTCTCCAGACTAAAAAGACCCAAATCCTAAGCCTTTCCTCATAAGAGAGGTGCTCCATTCCTTTGATCATCATCGTAGCCCTCTGCTGTACCCTCTCCAGCAGTTGCCTGTCCTTCTTGAACTGGGGAGCCCAGAACTGGACAGAGTACTCCAGATGGGGTCTTACAAGGGCAGAGTAGAGGGGGAGGATAACCTGCCTTGACCTGCTGGCCACACTCCTCAGGAGACCATTGGCCTTCTTGGCCGCAAGGGCACATTGCTGGCTCATGGTCAATTTGTTGTCCACCAGGACTCCCAGGTCCCTCTGCAGATCTGCTCTCCAGCAGATCAGCCCCCAACCTGTACTGGTTCATGGGGTTATTACTCGCCAGGTGCAGCACCCTAAGCTTGCCCTTGTTGAACTTCATTAGGCTCCTCTCCCCGCAACTATTTAGCTGTCCAGGTCTCACTGAATGGTGGCACAGCCTTCCGGTGTGTCAGTCGCTACTCCCAGTTTTGTAGCATCAGCATGCTGAATTCATTCAGCATACTCCACACAAATTCATTTTTCAATGACCACAATTAAAGACCGAAAGGAAAAAAAAAAAGATACATGAAGTAATGCAGATAATGAACATGGAGTGCATGA